TATCATTTCCTTCTAAACCTGGAATGGTGGCAGAGTGGACCCATCGGATCCCCAGGCCGAAGCCCACGAGTTGCCCTGAACTCCTTCCTCACAGACGATTAAACACAGAGATCCACAAAGTCCAGCTCTGTGGGTTATTAGTTCGCCTCTCAGTCCCACACGCATGCTTCAGTAGGTGCTCTATGCTGAACAACAGAATGCCATGCAGCCTTTCTTCTTTAAAGTGTGCCCCACGGTACACTTTTGCAGTCGAGAGCACAAGAGGGATGGAACGGGAAGAAGAGTCTTTTCATAACTTCCAGCTCTGACTGGGGCTCAGCAGTGCGGGTGTGAGAACAACAATGCGTCTGCCCCAGCCTCAGGCCCGGAACACAGACGCTCAGCAGCCTTGCAGCCTCTGCTTCGCGGTAAGCTTTCCTTGGCTGCCTGTTCAGGGTTCACCTCCTCTTGCATGAAAAAGGTGACTTGTATGGAATTGGATAATAGTTTTTCTAAATGCTGGAAAAATATTTTAATTTTTTTGTGTGTGCAATTACAGTATCACAGCCACGGACATGACACACTTTTAAGCTTAATCTGCATTGTTAAAAAATACTCCCTATTGCTTTCTAGAGTTTAGACAATCCACAAAGCCGTACGTCGAGCTCTGATCTCTCGTGTTTGCTGACTCCCATGGTTTACTCGCTGCCACCAGGGTCGACCCCAAGTGACCAATGTGACGGCGCGGAAGGCACAGTTGGGAAGAGGTGTGTGGTAGCAGTCCATCGTGTAGCGTTTCCACGACACAGATACCATAGGCATGAAGAGCAAATGCAACAGCAAAATGACGTCAAGAATATCAGAAAGTAAGGAGGTTTGAGTTCATCAGCTTTGCTTTAAACTGAATTGGCTTGGTGTGGAATTTTATGTTTTAATAATTGACAATCAGCTCTCAACGCTGCCGAAATGGTAACATTCACCGGTCACAAACCAGTGTGACCCAGCACCGGCCGCCACTGGACCAGACCCACTGAGACTGTGCAGCACCTAATCCCTCAGCCAGCCTTCCCCCCATGCACTGATCCTTCCCATTTCAAGCATGTACATGCCGCGCACCCTCAGCCATAATCCCAAATTCAATAAAACCCTGAAAATGGCGACTATGGTACAAGCCAGATCTGAAGCATCACGCAGCCATTTATTCTACTTTTAATATCCCTATTTTCCTGCAAAAATGTTCATGTGTTTGATCGTGGGGGGCTGTCCCAGACCTCTACTGGGGGCATAAAATAAAACACATATGCATTGTTACAGTGCCCATATCACCCTCCTTTATCAAACCACTTCTGGGACTCTGACCACCCATGACTAAAAGTCGAGCTGAGCTCGTTAGTCACGGCACATCTACACCTTACACCCTTTGGGAAAGAATCAGAACCCAACTAGTGTAGGGACCCAGGCTGCCTTCCTTGCTTTATCTGTTATGTGATCTCCATCTGCCCACTTCCTCGTTCCTCATCTCCAGTTCTCATCTGTCAAATGGCAGTCACAAAACCAGCAAGGCTGTCATGCACATAAAGCAAGTTCATGGACATGAAGTTAGCTTGTCATGTGCTGTATACATTAGAGGGGTTTTCACTCTTATCATTCTGAAACCGAAATACTTGTTTGAAAGCAAACATTCTTTAAACTGCTGGATAGCAGCTGGGGGTTTCTCATTTCCATAAAAGGAGCTAACCATTGATGTGCATAAAGCCCAGTCATCTCTATCTTAAACACAAAAGCGTCACACTTGAAAAGCGTCTTGTGTGGTTGATGCAGTTGGCGAAGCTGGTCTATAGTACAGTCTCTGTGACTCATAAGAACTGAATAGCTGGGTCTCATCCCATTAGAAAAAAAGAGAATAGGAGAAAAGAGTAGCCCCAGGCTCTCACCTTTCTGGGCCTGTCTGTATATTTATAGGTTTGTTTAGTTTTTTTGTTTTGTTTTGCTTTGCTGCTGTTATTTTGGGGGTTTTGGTTTTTGTTTGTTTTTATTGTTGTTTTTGCCTTCCCTACATTGGTGCACTACAAACAAACCAAGACTTAAGTGTGAAAGGTCATTCAGAACCTCTATGCATGCCCTTCCTTGGACAAATGCCTCCCATCTTCTGCTTGAACAGTCACAGTGACTGGGGGCCTATTCATTTAGCCCGGATGCCTGAACCATCTTAGTTACAACTGGCAGCTCTTTCCATTATAAGAAGACAGCTTTAGGACTTCACAGGCAAAGAAAAGCAAAGGGCAGATTCTTACTATGGTAGAAATGACTGGAATCAAATCTTTCTTGAAAGTAGCTTTTTTTTTTTAAGATTTTATTTATTTATTTGACAGAGGAAGAGAGAGAAATCACAAGTAAGCAAAGAGGCCCAGGCAGAGAGAGAGGAAGAAGCAGGCTCCCCATTGAGCAAGGAGTCGGACGCAGGGCTCAATCCCAGGACCCTGGGATCAAGACCGGAGCCAAAAGCAGATGCTTAACCGACTGAGCCACCCAGGTGCCCCTGAAAGTAGCTTTTGATGAGTGGGAAGATGTGTAAAAGGATTTTGGCAGAGAAGAAGACCAAAGAGAACACAAAGGAACTATCATTTACAGAGGAGAAATGAGGGGCACCTGGGTGGCTCAGTTGGTTAAGCATCTGACTCTTGGTTTCTTTTCAGCTCAGGTCATGATCTTGCAGTCGTGGGATTGAGCCCCATGTTGGTCTCCATGCTCAGCATGGAGTCTGCTTTGGATTTTCTCTCCCTCTCCCTCTCCTTCCCCCTCCGTCCCTCCCCTCTGCTCCATCATGCTCTCTCTCTAAAAATAAATAAAATCTTAAAAAAAAATACAATAAAAAAGAGAAATGGTTCCAAACTGCAAAAGGAAGAAAGTCTGACAGCAAATGACAATGATTGCTTAAAATTCCACGTGAACAGGATACAGCCCTCATTATTGTCCATAATATATATGAATACCACAAAGCAAAAGAGAAATAAAAAACTAGTTGCCAGATAGTCCTTATTAACTCTTTGGAGTTTCCCATTAGGTTCACAGCTAGGTGCAAAACTTGGGTCTTTGTGGCACAACCATTCATATTTATCTGAAAACTGCTAGTTTTATTAATCATCCTAGTTGATGTTAAATCAAACAGACAGAATTATGGTGCTAAGTCTCAATGCAGATCACAAAGTCTCATTTATTTTTGGAAAATGATATCTATAGGCCTTTATAATCACTGAACAAAAACATTCAAACAAAAATAAGCCACATTTCTATACAAATAAGACAATTAAACATGTACTATTAAAGAAATTGCTGATTCTATTATTTGAGAATTCAAAATGCCACCCCTGGATTTTGAAAGACTGCATTTGTACATTTTTTCTTATAAATGAAATGCACTGTGGAAACAAAATAGGTAAGTGTCTACTTCTGATTAGACCCTCAGAATTCAAGTAGATGCCTGTCTTAATCAAGGTAGACACTTTATCTGTACAAGTCAAATTTTACTTTGCAGATGGGAGGTAGGGTGTGAAATGTGCGTTGGTAAAAGTGAATAAGTAAAAAGACTGAATTATAGAATTTCCTTTTCATTAGAGATAACCCAGAGATTAAAGAGATGGAGATGGATAGGACAGAAATAAAGGCAGAGGCAACCAAACAAACAAAAGCAAAAGGCCTTAACAATAGTTAGAACCTGTGAACAGAGGAGAGACACGGACATCTGTTGAAAATCCACTATGGGCTGGGGACTTCGCTAAGAATTTTACCAGGCCATCTCATTTAGCCTTTGTAACAATTCTTCAGGTGCATATCATTATCTCCAGTCGATACATGAAGAAACAAATGCTTAGAAATGATCAGGTTGGCTTTCCAAGCTCATTTTCCTCAATTCTTAGAACTCATTTGAAACAATAATGTAATATGGTGGTCAGTCAGATGGACCCACAGGTGATCTGGTTCTATATTCCACTGACTGAGGGAGTTGTTTTGCTGGCCTGGAAGGTTGAACATTCAAGTGTTGCCCATCTTTACCGCATCCCCCCCCGAAAAAAATCTTAAAGATGCTCTGCCGAGGGGTGAAAGATTAAATGATTCTTTACTCAAGGTATAGGAATTACTGAGATTTCCTGCTGGACTCTTTGGGGCCAGAAAACTTACTGAACCAACTAAGTATCCAAAATGGAGTTCTAACTACATTCTCCATTTAATATTATAGATTCTGTAGGAGAAAAGAGATGCCTCTTCCTCTTACTATGTGAATATATTATTATGTGGATATATTATGTGAATATATTACTTTATCACTGTAAAGAACATGGCATTCCTAATAGTTTACTGGTAAGTGAAGAAAAAGTCACAGACACCAGGGCAAGACACAAAGGTAACCATCTTCATGGTGTCATTTGTAATTAAAGCCCTTAGAGCTAAGATAAGCCTCATGGATGAATAGAGCACTTACTAAAGGAATAAGAACTCACGTGTTAGACTTGGTTTTTATCTTAACTCTGGGCTGGTGGCCTGTCTTCTCTATCCTGCATGAATTTCCCGGTTTTATGGCCCATGTTATTATACATAAGATAAAATTCAAACTGTATACATTGACCTCATTCATTTTTTTAACCTTCTTTTCCACTGTCCCCTGAGTGGGATGGTTAGTAGCCTGATGTGGCCGGAAGGAGAGTACTTATAAGAGACAGATTGGAACCAAAGAGATGGGTGAGGAGGTCAGTGCAATAGTCCTTGAGAGCCACGATGAGGGCCTGACCTACGGGAGTCAGAGTGATAGCTGAGTGAAGCGACTAGCTAGGAGTCAAACCTAGTCATACATCAGCCATAAGGGCACCACCAAACTTTCCTCTCTAACTGGGGGATAAGCCAATCAATGATCTTACATGGCATCCAGAAGAAATCCTTCCACATGTCTACCTCCTATTCTGTTTCAGTGGTGTCAAGGAAAATGCTAGATTTCCACTGGCCTTCACTTAGCCATAACTACTCACTCTGTCAAGAGCCAGAAGCCTTGAATTGTCTCTCCAGACGTCTTGGCTATGTGGCCTTTCAAGTCTTCTATGGCAGTCTCAATGGCCCCCGGCTGAGTGGAAAAAAGAAAATACCTAGTTTAGAGAAAACTGAGCCCTCTTTGTGCTTATGATTAGTGAGTATAAGCCACAGTCTCCTCCAGAAAGCTGATGGGAAAGATAGCTCTTGCATCTGTCTGTTTGTTCTAGGCACAGTCTGCCTGGGAGCTTAGTCTTGAACTCTGGTATTTACAAAGCTGTTCTCCTTGGGTGGGACTAAAGTGATCCAAGTCCTGTCTCCCATGATCTTACTCATGCTTTCTCGTGGAAATGAAGACAGCCATTTTCAGAGGGCCAGTTTTCCTGAATAAACAAGTTTATAAGAAAGTTCAAAGCATTTAGCAATATATACATTTTTAAAATCAAACCTTTCTCTCTTTAAAGAGCACATGGCAATAAAACACCTAAGAGAAATCTTCTTCTAATATTTTGACCATAATTTTAGCTGACTCTGGGCAATTAACTTTTTTGTCTCCTTATTTTGCATTCTTTACCCTTCTCCAAACAGGTGCTCCTACTTATGGGCCTACCTCTAGTTTAAAATTTGATTAACCCTTTTCCTGATAAGAAATTCATAGACCTCTAGCTCAGTGATCCCTAAACTTTCGGTGCACATCAGAATCAAAAACACAGATGTCTGGGCACTGTTTCCAGAGTTTCTGATTCAGTGGATCTGGAGTGGGCCTTAGAATTTGCATTTCCAACAAGTTCCCAGGTGGTGCTGTTGGTGTGGGACTGTCTTATGAGAACTATTGCTCTCTAGACAGTTATTCTCAACCTTGGCTACACATCAAAATCACTAGGGGAGCTTTTAAAAATCCTAATGCCCAGGCTGCACACCAGGGCAATCATATCCAGATACTCAGTGGATGGGACTCACATATCAGTACACCAGGATTTTTTAACGCATCCCAGATGACTCCAATGTGTAGCCAAGGTTGAAAACCACTACAGCCCAGGGATTATCTAGTCTAAGCCATTTCGTTTTATAGGTGTGGAAACAGGAGCAGTGTGGGGAAGTAACTTGTCAAATTCACTCAGCTAAGAAGTGGTAGAGACAAGACAAGAAAACAGACTTTCCATTGCCCCACCTACAGTGCAGTGCTGGCCTCATTCCCAGCCCTGAGCTACTGACAAGTAGGTTGCTAGTTCTTGAATATTCTCTATATAACAGGGCTTTAATACTAACTACCTAATCGTCTCTAAATATTAACATTCTTAATCCTCCCAGCCTGAGATCCTTCTCTCACAAAAGGAAACCAGGACACTAGCCTGGCCTAGGATCCATCCAAATGCCTTTTCCTCTTGGAGGTAGGGCGGTGGGGGGTGCGTGGTAGATTAGGATTTGCTTGCTTTCTCAGTCTACGATAAAAGACTTTGAAACATTTTGGCCACAGAATCCATGGGTCAAGGAAAAAAAAAACTTAGAATAGGAGAATCCATATACGAAAAACAGGAAAAGAATGGCACTGCTTCAGATGAAGTGGTAGGAAATGGTTCGGAGCTTTCCCTACTTAGCTCTGCCCCTCCCCCTCCAATTCACTGGGCACAGTCCGAGTCATCCAGGAAATGTCCATCGAACGGAGTCGAGTGACCTGGGTTCCTGTTCCAGATCTGTGGTAAATCAATTCTGTGACCTCTAGCCAATGATCTGAGTTTTCTTGGCCTACATTTCCTTATCTATAAAGACAAATGAGGAGACTGAACCAAAGCTTTCTGAGCCAAACTGATGATGAAAGCCTCCTGGAAGTCTTTAAGAAAATATGATCACAGCCCTGATACTGAGACATTCTGAGTACCTCATTTTAACACATTTCCTGCTGAACTGAATAGTCAGCCAGTGGACTGAATGATTTCTGACTCCTTTGTCATCCTCTGCTGCTGGTTCACGGGTTGTCAGAGAGTTAACATGGCAGCCTGTGCCTGCTGGAAGCCGTAAGTCATTAAATCAGTAAGTTGTGGAGCATAAATCAAGTATGCCTTGAGCCCCCACTGACAGAGAAGGTTGTGCCAACATCACTGTTCTAGTGACCCCACTGGCAGGATCAAACTAAGCTGGAGAGAAATCCCCTATGATCCCATGACAGTGTTCCCATCTCCCAACCCAAGCTCCCTGGGATACAGCCAGACTGCACCAGGTCCACTGCTCAAAATCAGCCTTTCTTTGATGACTCATCAGGCTATGTTTCCTGTCTCTCTTCGTATATCCACACAATTTCTTCCTCTAGCTAATATAGCTCAGTAGTGAAACTAATACTTTTCAGAAGAACAAAAAAAAACTGTAAGTGAAACTGGAAAATAATGAAATAATCCCAAAATAAGCACTTTGTTGAATGGTTTTACACTAGGTACTTTGCCAGAACATGTGAAGATGAATATAAAATTTTAGAATTTTTCAAAACCTTACTTGTCTTCCCTATGGAAAGCAATTGACAAAATCTATCAAAATGATCTATCCTTTGATCTACACATTCCACTTCTGTGAAATCATACTACGGATGTTCTTGCAGATGTGCAAAATGACAGATGTATATGCAGAGTTCTTTGCAGCCTTACTTGTGAATAGCGAAATTTTGGAAACAAGGCAAACATCGATCAATAGAGGACTTGTTAGATATAATAGAAGATACATCCATACAATGGAACATGAAGAACATGCAAAAAAATTAGGAAATCCGTGCTAATATGGAAAGATTTCAAAATGTATTAAGTGAAAGAAAAAATGTTCAGAAGAAAAGGTAAATATACCACATTTTTGTATAAAAAAGAGGAGAAGGGATGAGAATAAATATTTGCACGTGCTTGTATATGCTAAAGCAACCCTAGAAGGATACCTAGAAAATGTTAACAGTGGTCCCCTATGAGGGGGGAGGCACTTGATGGGACAGTGGATGGAGGTGACGTTTTACTGTACACCTTTTCAAAACCTAAACATTGAACATCAGTGTGGTTTTTATAAAATGGTTGGGAGGTCTCTAGAGTACTGTCAATGTCCTCACTGAGTGTGGTATTCTCACCTTCCACAGAAACAGTGGTTGTACCTTTATGGAACAGTTAATCACTGTATCCTGATAGAATATTTTACTCTCTTCTTTTTGCCATTGTGGGTTAACTGGAATAAATTAACTTCAGCCACTCAGTGTAGAAAACGAGATAGTGTGTGAACACTCTGACTTGTGTCTAGGGCAAGGTTTAGATCTCAGCCTTTCTGCCTGCTGTGAGACCCATGTTATGTCCTTGTCATTCCAGACATCAGTTTACTCATTTGCTGAGTGGATAAGATAATATTAACTGTAACAGAGCTGTTGGGAAATGCCAAAAGCATATGGGAACACTGAATAATAAAACACTGTATTTTCATTCTTTTTGTTAATATTAAATGGAGGGAAAATAGTTGCACCAGGATTTGGGGGTCTAATGGTCACTGCAAGGGAAAAATTAGCTCGAAGACTCCATGCCGCCTAAGACTAATAGGAAAGTATGATGGAATAATAAGTACCCATCATCCAATACATATATATTTCTAATGCTAAATTTGAAGAAAAATCATGAGGAGGGATTCTTATTTACAAGTCATTATACAGCATAGTAGGCAGTATCTTTTCTAATAGTTCAGCACTGAATATCTTCAGTCAAAACAAACCTACTGAGGGAATTTCAAAGACGTGTGTGTGTGTTTCCCTGTATTTCTGTAAGCTAGACTAGCCAGGGGCCAGTTGTCACACAAATAATACTCCCATCTGCTACTAATAGTTTTCCATGTACTGGACTCCTTAGCCAGACAGTAAGAGGAGGGGGCAGCATAGAGAGGAATGCTCCCAGGGACTCAGACACAATAAGATCTCTCTTGTGGGTGTCATCATGCCCAGATAGAAATCATTCCGTGGTAAACACATACAGGCAGAAAAACAGCTCTAAATTTGATGTGATTTGTAAAGTCCAGGGCAAATTTATCTCTCTTTGAAAATAAAGGAAATGCTTCTTATTTCATTATCGTTAACTGCCTGCCCTCAGAAAGAAGCATGAACTTTATTACAATCTTCAAGGGATTTCAGTGTAAGGAGGGGAATCAAGAAATCTTTTGCCCAGTGAGATATGTAATTTCTAGACCAGGAAGAAGCTCACACAGACAATAACAATACAACTAATATATTTAGTTGTTCCCAATGAAAGAGCAAGACACAGGGAACCCTATAGTAAGAGAAGAGGGGAAGGGAGAGAGTATGAAAGCCAAATTAGTGTCATGAAAGCAATGACATCTTGCTACACAATGGGAAGTCCCAAACCTGCTTATTAAAGTCTCGTTCCTCACAATAGAACACAGGCTATAAAAAGGCCATGGGGAACCATTAATTAAATATTAAAAGATCAAATAGTTTTAGTCCCATTAGTTTGTATGTAATTTACATTCCCAAGTATAAATTTAGAGATAATTCCCCATCCCTGATCGCTTTCAACTTTCTGATAAGGTATCTGCAAATATAGAGTCCTACAGGGAGTTTAAAAATATCTTTCCCCATGCGTATCAAGTATTGTTCCTTTCATAAGAAGTTGCTTTTGAATATCAGTCTCCACAACTAAAGGGATTATCATAATATACCTCGAGTTATTAGCCTTGAGTGGTACTTTTGTTCAGAAAAGGCACTAGGCCTTTTTTAGATATTTCTAAGCAATAAAATAGCAAATGAACAAAACAGGAGGAAAAAATTATCCAAGCAGAGTGATAGCAAGTGCTTCAGACATTCATTCCTATGACCTCTCATTCATTGTCCAAGGTCAGAGGCTCTGGAGGGGTGGTAAAAAGTGTCAGGAGTCCTGGCTCTTAGACTTGGCATGGCTCCTAAATTGCCAGTTGACTCTGGACAAGTCACATCTCCTTTGTGTGTTTCAGAGGTTGGATTAAATATTCCTCTAAGGCCCCTTCTGGCTCTGAGCAAGAACATTGCTATGTTGGAAGGGCACAGTTCAGGAAATAAATAATGGTCTGGAAGCCTGTGGATAGGAAGCAACATCCCAGATGCCCCATGAAATAACATAAGGAACCAGATTGACTTCTTTTATGATCTGGTATGATCTAATGCATGAGGTTTTAATGCTAAAAAATGACTCTTGGGGGCACCTGAGTGGCTTAGTAGGCTAAGCGTCCGACTCTTGATTTCGGCTCAGGTCATGATTTCAGGGTTGTGAGATTGAGCCTCTTGTTTGTCCTGAATTAATTTAAACTTCCAGAGCAGTCACATCTTTGCATATCCAGTTTGAAACCCATATAATTGATCTTCTTATTATAGCATTGGGCATCTACTGGAGCCTAAGAAACTCAGTGCCATTCTACCACAGCAAGCCAAAGAGTAACTTTCCTTTCTGGGTTAAAAGATATAAGTAGGAAACAACTTACATGTCCATCAAAAGTTAAATAAATTGTAGCATATCTCTATAGTGGAATGTTATTGAATTGTGAAAAATGATTTTATGGAAGTATAGTTATTGACACAGGAAATATTTTTATGCAACCAATTGTACACGTGAGGAAATAAATAAGACAGGATATACACCTAAATGTATAAGCACACATTCAATATACTTTGGTTAATGTTGGGCAGGGAGATTATGGTGACTTTTATTTTGCTTATTGACATTTTTCTTTTTTCTTTTTCCAATAAGCCACCTTTTGTGAAATGATTTTAAAACATTTAATAAAATGCTTGATCAAGGAATTCCTCAACTCATTTACTTACTGTTTTTCTGAATTTACAACCTATATGCTTTAAATTCTTGCACTGTAATAAACTTATTTCTTTTTAATTGCTTCATGGGATCTAAATCATAGAACTATGAATTGGGAATTGGAAAACTTGGGTTCTAACCCTAGCTTAAGCACTTACTCCTAGCGTCTCGGGCAAGTTGGTGCTTATTAATGGTTATGACACTGGACAAGCAACAACCCCTCTCTGGGCCTTAGTTACTTTTGAAAATGAGAGTGTTGACTAGCTCGTTGGTGCTCAAGGTGTGGTCTGTGGACAGATCGCACCTTATTGCCAGAGGATCTATATAAATGCAGAATCTAAGACCTTCCTCTAGGCCTACTGAATCAGACCAGCATTTTCACAAGATTTGCAGGTCGTTTGTTTGCATGATAAAATGGAGAACCAGTGGACCAGATCATCTGTCGATCTCGTTTCAGCTCTAAGAAATGATACTTTATGATGAATCTTTCATAGATCTGAATCATTCAGAGCCGGGGTCTTGTTGAATTATTCCCTGGGAAATGAATTAGTTTCCTTAACTCAAACCTCTTTACTGCTATAGACACTATACATCTACATTTATATCTCCTTCTGGAAGTCATGGTGAGGTCACAGGCATTTTAATGTCATTCCCTATGACCAAATACAGAAATGGGAATGTCAAATCAACAAGAAAGGGAGAAAGCATTCATAATAGCAATGAGATGCTGCTTATGAAATGTTAATAGACATGTCATGCACTGTACTAAGAATATTTACAAAATCAGGCTATTTAAACCTCTGAATAAAACTGGTATTTTATCCACACACTGCAAATGAGGAAATTTATAGATATAGATAAAAATATAAACATACATATAAAGCACATTCATTATACTCACATGCTCACAGAATATATATTATGTGGTTTGAAGGAGAGCAAATGCTGGGTGCTTTGGGAATGTAGCCCTCACAGCTCCTAAAGAGTCCTCAAGTCTACTTTAAACTCATTAACATTAGAAGCTTTCCCTCCCAACATCTTGAGAACTTAGGGCTTGTTTCTATATACCCGAGGGAGAAGATATTCTTCACATGGACTGGAGTCAGTCATTGACTGACTTAGAAAGGGGCCATACGTGCAGTTGTATGTGAGGTGGGAAGAGCTCTGGACTTACAGACCGGAGATACAGATTCCAGCTATAGCTACTCCACTAATATTGTGTGACTTGGTCAGGTCACTTCACTCCCCTGAAGCTGTACTATGTTTACAATGAAACAAGAGCGGTACGTCCTCCCCTGCCTACCTTACAGTGTTGCTCCAGGGACCTTCACTTGATAAGTTACATAGAGCCGCACAAATAAAAGCATCATTCAAACAAAGAAAGAAAGAAAAGCTCCATGGTAGCTTCAAACTGTGTCGATTTAGCTAAGCTAAAACTACATTTTTCTAGAACTTCCTTTCCTGTCTGTTTCCCAGTTAGAGTTGGCCACAAGAGACATTAGTGTCAGGCTGGCAAGGCAGAAGTGACACATCGGTCATTTCCCTGCGGAAGATCAGTGCAGGCCCGCAGTGACTGTGGCAGCTCATATTCAGGGCTGCTTCACTTGATGGCGTGGGGCAGCTTCGGGCCCATCACCAAATGCAAAGACAACAGCTTTGCAGACTCCCCAGCCAGCCCTCATGACTGCACCAGCTTCTGAGCATGCCAAATCTCTTATTCCATACCACTCATGGTTGTTATCTCATCAAACTGTGACTGATACATCATCATTACCAAAGATGAGACAACTTTAGGGGATGCTTTGATTTCCTTCACAGATGTATCTTACAACTTAATTTTGCTTATTCAATAACGTTCACATACTTTAGAAAACAAACTATATGCTCTGCCTAGGCAAAGACACTCACACAAACACGCACATAGCAGAGCACCTACCAAAGCACCTTAACACATACGAGTGGCTAAATACAGATGATACGGGTATATCTTATCTTCAAACATGCACACGCACACGCGTGCGCACACACATACATGCACACACACACACACTGAGTCACAATAGCTGCATTTTTATCTTAACCAAAGATGTTTTAAAAGCTACCAAATCAGGATTCATTAGTTAAAGCTTTGTAAATTGTCACAACGTCTTAGCCACCATTTATTTATAAGATTGAGTTGAAAAAAAACCTTTTTTCAAGATGTGTCCCATCTACGCTTCAAAAATGAGATTGTCTCCTTTGTCACACTGTACAATCCCCAGTTTTGCCACCGACTGATTACAGCCTGTGAGCCAGCAATTACTGTGTAAACAAGAACATTGAAGGATTGGGAAAGAACATTGATAAGTAGGAAGGAGAGTTCGAGAGAAAGAGAAAAGTACTCAAACCCAGGAAGCACTCTCCACTTGATCCAGATGCTAGAAGTTCAAAATATCTTCTTTTTTTTTTTTTTTTAAGAGAGAGTGAACGAGCAGGGGAAGGGGGAGAGGGAGAGGGAGAGAGAGAATCTCAAGCAGGCTCCACACCCAGTACAGTGCAGAGCCTGACATGGGTTTCAATCCCACAACCCCCATGATCATGACCTGAGCCAAAATCAAGAGTCGGATACTCAACCGACTGAGCCACCCAGCACCACATCATTTTTTATATCTAGATATACAAACCCCATCCTCATTACCCATCCATCCATTTACTTCCTCAGCTCCAAATACTCAGGGAAAAGAGCTCAGCTGCAGACAGCAGCCAAAGGTTTGGGATTTCAAAGTGCCTGCTCCCACACGTAACACCAGCATCCCAGTGTAGACCCTGAGGTTCAATCCATTCTCAGCAAGCCTTTCTACTCCATCACCCATGTCTTTTTCAAACATGCAACAGATAACCACTCTGGGCACACAACTTTATATTCTAGCTGCTTGGGTTTTCTCTCCATAGATCATTAATCTGTGGAGATCAGGTTTAACATGAACACAGGACCGAGGAGCCAAAGATCCACAGAGACTGGATAACCAGCTTCTCTCCTCAATACTACCTGGTTATCAAAAATAGACCCTTAACTTCTCTGAAATTCAGCTCCTTCACCTGTAAAATGCGGAGAAAGATAACTACTTCACAGTTATTATGACTATTACATGAGATAACAAATGTGAAAATACTTGGTAATATTAGAATATTGTAAGAATAGTCTTGTACAGTACTTCAGAGCACCAAAAACTTTACCCGTGTAGCAAAGTACTTCCGTGAGACAAAAGGTCGGTGATAAGGATTGGGGTACAGTGTTGATTCGGTCGCACTTGGCTGCCTTGAAATCTGCCTTGGCTCTGGGTCCGTGCCTGGGTCTCCCTCCTCCGTGGACAGCTGGTCAGTCTCAGAGGGTTGGTAATCTCCCTCTTGCTTCAGAGACACAGGCTGGAATCCTTCAAAACTCCTAATCGTTGACATTTCTTCTACCTAAAACAAGAGAAGAAGCAATCTTTTCATTAGGAGAAAAAAAAAAGGGAAAAGAAGTCACCTCTGTCCTGGCCAGGGCAAAAAGTCGACAGGGTGCAAATGATGTTCCTGAAACTGACAAAGGTACTCACACGTTAACTAAACAAAGGCCTTAATGAATGCAGTTCAATAACACAGACTCCACCACCCTGTTGGGCCATTTACCAGGGGAGTGAAGCAGAGACCCTCTAGACAGACAAAAGGGGGTTGCAAGTAGGTCCATTTTCCCACCTTGAATCCCAGAAGACAGGAAGTGGAGTATGGAGATGGCAGTATGAAATAATTACCAAGCAATTGATCTTCACAATTTCATAGAATTTTTGCTTAAAAACCCACCAGCCTGCCAACTTATTTAACAGGTAAATGGAATGATAATGCACCTTCTTGAATGCTGCTTGGGTAGTAATAGGGGACAAAAGCACTTAGAACTGAATATATTTTGACTCAAAAAACAACAATTCTAAAATTTTATCGTAAGGAAATAATTTAGACAAATGCCCAAAAATATCAATATAGAAGTAGTTCATCACATGTGTCTAATAACAGAAAAATACACAACTTTATTTCTAATAGCAAAACATTGTATAAAACAGCCACATTAGACACTCATACAACATTGTATCTAACACAAAAAGAACATAGTAAAACTAAGAAGTGGTCAGGAGGGAACTGGCTAAATATGTTATATCACAAAGTGAAATATACTGTAGTCATTAAAAATATAAGTGCATATTTTTATCATGGAAATCTGTCCAAAATATATTGTTAATGGAAAAAGATTATGAATAATTATGACTTATTATATTCAAATGGGTTAAAATAATTCAAATTCAAAAAGAAAAAAAGAAAGAAGGAAACTGGGAGTTGAATATGTATATACATGTATTGTGTGACAGGGCTAGAAAACGTTTAAAAAGAAATCAGAGAGGGAGATGAACCATGAGAGATTATGGACCACAGGAAACAATCTGGGGGTTTCAGAGGGGCGGAGGGTGGGAGAAGGGATAACAGGGTGATGGGTATTGAGGAGGGCACATGCTGTAATGAGCACTGGGTGTTATACTTAACTAAAGAATCATTGAACACTACATCAAAAACTAAAAAAAAGGAAATAAAATAGAATATTAATGGTTATTTCTGGATGAGGTGATTTTAATTTTTTGTTTTCATAAGTCTCCGGATGCTTACAATGATTATATATGACTTAAGTAAAAACACGATAAACATTCCTATCCTGTAAATATACAGCAGAATTAAACAAAATAAATAGAAAGCACATGCTAGCCTAGTAAAAAGCACGTGTACATCAGGTCACCATTTCCAAGCTGAGACCAGATAGTCAGACCTGCAGTAAGTACACTGTCCATGCTACATAGAAGGTGGGTTTTGTGCCTGGCTTCACCATGTCTGGGAACACTATCTTATCCTCAGAGCTGCCTCAGTGCTCCTAATCAGATAAATTCCATTCCCTCGATTCTTGTGAAACACTAGACAATGAGAAACAGCCCCAACCCCAGCAAGTGTACATTCTTAACATTGGAATTAGAGTATTCAAAAGAGGTAAAAATAGTCTGAGCATATAACCTATTGCCTAAAGCTGGACACTTTGGAGCATGAAAAACGTACGATTAACAATTATGTCAGAATGAAAGGAGTAAACCGGGATTATCTCAGGCAAAGGTAGACATACACAGTCACCCTGAGGGGTTTGAATGCAGGAGAAAACACAGCTGGTTAGGGGGGCTCACCAGTGAAAAGCCCTCCGCAGTACCCATCTGATCCTCCCAACAACCCTAGAAGATGATTTTACCTGCATCTCTCTGGGGATCACAGCATTTAGGGGACCCACCCAGGGCACACTCAGATCACTGTGGCAGCACCTGGATGCTCACCCCGGGCTCCCAACCACGCTTCCTGTCAATCCAGCACGCCCATCATGAGGCACACTATGTTGCAGCAGGATGGCTTTGCTGAGTCTTCAGTAATTTTTTTAAGTTAGATGCGTAAAAGGCAGAGATTGGCCTGTTAAGAAATACAAGGCGCACCCGCAGAAGCAGGAGAAATTTTGTGTGCATGTGCACCTGTATGTGTGTATGTGTGTGTTTTGTGTGTGTGTGTGAGAGAGAGAGAGAGAGACAGAGACAGAGACAGAGAGACAGAGACAGAGAGAACAATCGGTGAAGCACTTTGGCCTCCCTGGCAGGTCTGTCGCCTCAATCACAGTGGCTGTTGGAAGGAAGTGTGTTTCTAGAGTTCCCTGTAACCTGTTAAGGAAGGTTTGTGCCTTTGGGGAAGGAAAGCCTGCTTCTGTATTTGCCACACTCTGGGAACACACGCCTCACAACAGGCATCTGCAGAAGGCTCCCATGCCTGGAAAACAGAGGGAGGACTTAATTAGCACCACTTCCTCTCCCTCAGGCTGTCTTCTCTGGAAACACTCGGGGAAGAGAATCAGAGCACTTTGAGACCAAGCTGTTTGAGATCCAGGAAAGAAGGAAACTCAGCTCCAGTTAAATTCTTACAGCCATGAATCGTTGAAAATGGAGCCCGGCTGCCTTACTCCGGGATGATCCCAGCTCTGCTGTAGTCACAGGGACATCTTTGTAAGGACAATGACTGTGACTTCTTCTACAACCTCCTCAACGTGAGAGCAGTACCAAGCATCGAAGCGGCCAGCTCCATTCCTCATCACCCTCTGCCCAGCCAATGTTTCTCCCCGGTTCAATAGATGTGTTCTCCTACCTCTGCCTGAATAGTATACATTGAAACACGAAAAGCATATTAATACTGAAAACAAATCTAGACAAATTCAAATGTTTCCACTGTTTTACATGGATAAAGCATGCCTTGTAACAGACCCATCCAGAGCCATTAATTTTAAAAGATCATTATTCTCTAACACTTCATGGAATCTGAAATGTTAGCATTTAGTACTCAAGTGGCACAATTTCTAAGGAAAGCAAGGTCAAGCCTTAGAAAAGAGTAAGTCCATACTTTTTGACCTAATCTCATTCCAGGACACTCTAAAGAAGAAAAAGAGTGCAATATTAATTGCTTATTCTGGGAGGTAATGAAAAATCAGAAATCAACTAAACACCTAACAGCCCGGGAATTGCTAAGACTGTCCAAATGATACCATGCAGACATTTAAAATAACTTGCATAAGCACTGCTGCAGTAGGGAAGTAAAAAGGATGTATCTTCCTAGGTGGAAAAAAAAAAAGCAAAAGCAAAAAACAAAGACTTTCTCTAGATAGGAGGATTTGAATAATTTTTACATCGGTAAAGAGCACAAGGAAAATATTTAGATTTATTGAGGTAGTTGGATTGAAACTGAATTTTTGCCTTTTAAAAAAAAGGTTTTTTTAATTGTGTTAGTGCTGCTTTTGCAATAAGAAATAAAATGTTTAATAAATATGTTGATTTGCAAACTCTGGTATAATCTGAAACTGCCCCCCACCCCCAACACGGAGGGCAAGGAGAGACCAAAGAACAGACCAATCCAAATTGGTAGGTGGCAGGTTTAACAAGCAAGACAACTTACATGTGAATTTGTCTTGGGCACCTCAAGACAAGCACATCTCTGCACGTGCCCGTCAGAATCTTAAAAGTTTATACACAGGACATACCTGGATTCAGTCACATATATAAGGTCAAAATGGTCTCAGCAACACCTTGCTCTCTCTCTCTCTTTCTCTCTCTCTAGGCTGTGTCCTTCAAGTGGCTCCCACCGTGGGAATAGTGGGTGGCATGTATGTTTCAAGGGCAGAAGGGGGGGAGAAGTTTCCGATTGCCCTGGGGCTCACTCAGGGGTCAACTAGTGGTCATATCTTCTCCATGACCTCCTCAAATGTAATGCCAAATAAATATCTAAAGAAGCACTATTCTTCCTTCCGTTAGGTGGTAAGAATTCTATATTTTTCAGCTGCCAGCAAATTCAGAGCTAAATTTAATAGAGTATTGCAGTAAATAACTTATTTCTGGGTCCTCATCTAAGTATACCTGCCTCACTGTATACGTGCTTTCATCTATCTCTCTGTGATTTTTTCTGATAATATTTCAGAAGCCTATAGGGCATAAATTGTAGCTAGAGAATCAATGTTTAGTCCAACTCCTTCATTTTGCAAACTTCGGAATGCTCAGGAGGGGGACTCACCCAAGGACACGCAGCTAAATAGAATCAAGACAGGACTCCTGACTCTTGTTCACTGCTTCAAGTTGTATCACTTAGAAGAAAGGCAGAGACGCAGTTATCAAACTTAGGTGTTGGTCAACTGGAAACACTTCTGTCGAATGTCTCCATCAGTCAGCTCTGCTCTGCTCTGGGATGGGAGATACAGCTCCCATGGAGCAAAGCTCACCCCAGCTTCTCTTGCATCTGCAGCAGGTACCCAGCACCCAGCCCTGTGAGCTAAAGCTTTCTCCTCTACCTTGCAGTCAGGCTGACTTATCTGTTAGGTTCAACAGGCGCAGTGCCTATGGTCCACAAACCTTTTAGGGGCTCAGGAAACGTGTTAATTTATTTTAAAATCAGAAGAGACAAATTAAAAATTGCATGGTCAAAAGAAATGTTTTGATTTTTTTCTCATGTCAGGAAAAAAAGTGAAATTTGTGGGACACCCAAAACTTTTGGTTTTGTCTAAAAACCCCCCAAAAATGGGGGAACCATTTAAAGTCATAAAGAAATGTAAGTTTTGGGGGCACCTGGGTGGCTCAGTCAGTTAAGTGTCTGCCTTCAGCTCAGGTCATGATCCCAGGGTCCTGGGATCGAGCCCCATATCGGGCTCCCTGCTCAGTGGGAAGTCTGCTTCTCCCTCTCCCTCTGTGTGCTTGCCCTCGCTCTCTCTCTCAAATAAACAAATCTTTAAAAAAAAAAAAAAAAAGAAATGTAAGTTTTAATATTGATAATATTACAGTGGAGAGGGCCATAAAGGCAAGAGAGTTTTAGGCTCATGAAA